CCATCATCACCCCCACCCTGTTTGTCAGCCTTTATGTCTCAAGGGGATCTTAAGCTCCAACTCTCACAACTAATGCTGGCTCTCCAGGACACTCTGAGAGGGGTCCTCCCGAGTTGATCCAGGAGTTGTTTGGTGGTTGTTTTGTTTTGTTTTGTTTTGTTTTTAGCCCAGTCAGACTGAACAGTCTGCAGGGCCAGAGAGGTCCCTGAAGCAAAAAGAAACAGAGGCCCTCTCCATGTGACAAATACACACACACACACACACACACACACACACACACAGAGAGAGAGAGAGAGAGACAGGGAAAGAGAGAGAGAGAAAGAGAGAGAGAGACAAAAGCATCCATTTGAGTTAACAGTGTGGGTAAGGGTGCAAGGTGGTGACAGACTGGGGCCCTTGGAGACTAGTAAGCAGGTCTCCCCCGAGGCATGTTTATTCAAAGTCCCATTCTCACTGACTCAGAAGGCCCAGGCTTCCTCCCCTTCTTTCTTTCATTCCTTTAACAAGCATGTTTCCAGGTGCTCTGTGCCAAGCACTGTGGATAAAGATACCTAAGAAGCACCTCTGACCTTGACTGCCCTCGTACATGCCCCTCCCTTCTCAAGCTAGTTTTCGTTTCCTGGCCCAGCACCCCTCAAGCCCTACAGGACTCAACCCCAGGTCTTTTCTCCCCACACAGCCTGAGGTCCCTACCAACCTCAGGGGGAGTGGGCAAGGCCTAGAATTTCCCTTTGGGCCATTACAGATAAAGGTGCAGAACAGAAACCTGGGTAGGCAATGTGATAGGAAGAGATGGGAGGTTTGCAGTCACAGATTTAGGTTCAGATCCATGGATTAATAGCATGACCTTGAGAAAGTTATTCAAGCTCTTTGGGCCTCAATTTCTGCATCTGTAAAATGGAAATACTGATACTACTTTCGAATGCTGTGTCGGGGGTTAAATAATATACATAGAGTAACAGGCCCACTGTAAATATTAGTTCCCTTAAGATATCCTCCTTGGGTAGGGCTGTCATGATGAGGTAGAGCTGGACAGCTACTTTCTCTTGGATCCTCAAGAGAAAGGATGAATAAGCAAGTACTTACTAGGATCTCAGGGTCTGGGCATTTTTCTTTCAGGGGGTCAGTTGGGGAATCTGAAACCCTCTTCCTGCTGTAACTGGGAACGAAAGGCAGACCTGACCTTAGGATTCTAGAGGCTCCCCCCAAGATTGGGTGTGGCATCAATGATTTCTTTCCCGGTAAACCCTGCATCAGACCTGTTCCCCCCAACACACACACAAAAATACAGGCTATAACTACTTTAGGGAATGATGGAAGGTTTGGTCTTAGAGCCCACTTCCATCCACACTCTGCAGAGACCCTGGGCTGCTTACCTCCCCTCTAGTCCACCCAAAAGTCTTCCCCCTTACCTTCTTGGGAGGTGGGGGTAGAGATCTGAGCCAATAACAAAGGGAAGATGCGCTTTCTCTTGGTTGGGGGGGGAGGGTGGAGAAGGGGAAAACATCAGAAAAATATGGAACTGGTTCTAACGGGTGGAGACGCTGTAGACAGCAGCAAAGGGGAGTTGAGTCTCCCGAAGGTAGGAAAGCAGCCCCCTGCCACTCTGCAGAGACTCAGCCGCTGGCCTGGTCAGGCCACACCCAGCCATCCTGATGCAGGGGAGAGGAGGGGCTGCGGGGAAGAGGATGAAGGATGAGCGGCGGGGAGCGGGCGCAGAGGGACCGGCAGAGACTAAGGTTCTGCGGGAGGCGGGGAGATTTAGCCACCCGCCCCCTCCCCGAATTCCCTCCTGGGCGACACTCACCCCAATAACGACGCTGTCATCCCCTTGGAAAATGGGGATAAACTTGTCTCCCCGCAGAATCTCAGCCTGGTTTAGCGGCCGGAATCGGCAGAGCACCTTGATGCTACATTCGTTGTTGGTCTCCGCCATGGTGGTCGCCGGCGTGGAGCTGGAACACTTCTTGGGCTGCAGGGGTGGTGTGTGCTCCAGAGGAGAGGGCTCTCAGCTAAGGCTGAGGCGGAGGACAGGTGCTCAGTCTCTGGGGGCAGAGTTGAGGGCGCCCGGGCGAAGCCTGGGGAGCAGGGCCGGGGCGCGCTCTCTCTCTCCTGCGGCAGCGGGATGCGGGAGACCTGGGCGTCTGGTCCTCTCGGGCGCTCTGCCTCTCCGCCCCTCGCGCTGCAGCGCCGCGCTGCGGGCCTGGGCGGGGCCGCGATGGAGGAGCGGGGGCGGGGCTCCCTCAGCTGGGGAGGCTGGCTCGACGTCGACCCGCGAAGGCTGGAACCTCACTGCTCCTCTGCTTCCTCCCCCATCCCTAACGTTCGGAGATAACCTTGCCCTCCACCCTTCCCCACCCAACTCACTGCATCCCACCCCTATACCCTCGATCTGTTTGTCCCTCCCTCAGACTCCACCCCCTGGAAGGGATAAGGGGACCGAGGTGGGCCTGTCGCCTGTGTAGCGAAAAGGGTCAAACAGATCTCCCACTCCCTTTATTCCAGGGCATCCCCCAACCCGTCACTAGCCTCTCTCCAAACTGGGATCACACTTCTCATTCTCCCCCTACGCCCATCCCATGCCCCACACGCAGGGAAGCTGGACTCCCAACCCACTCAGCTTTCTGGGGGATCGCTGCCTGTACTCCTATGGAGGTGGGTGTCAGGGAGGAGTGTCATGGGAGGTTCTCGCTACTCCCTTCCCCTTCCACATCCAAAGGTGCACTCTACTGTCTCCCCAACGTACACAGCAGGTCCCCAGTTTCAGGGAAGATAAACTCCCATTCTGGGTTATGGGAATTCAAAAGCAGACACAATACTTATTTTTGTGTCCTAGGTTGAGGATGGGATGATGATGGGTAGGAAACATTTTTGCAAGAGAAAGGGAGTCAGAAAGCAGTGAAGGAGGGGCAATGATGGGGATGGGGAAGGCCAGAGAGACTTTGAAGTCTAAGGCAAACACCTGCATTTGGGTTTCAGGCAAATTCAGGTACCTATGGGAGTGTGTGTTTCCTGTCTCAGTAACCATTGGAGGATACAGTCCCAATACTTCAGCCCCCTTCCCTGGCCAAAAAAAGAAAAAAAAGGTGTGGGGGAAGAAGAATGAAAGAAATGCCAAGCCCCAGAGATTCCTTGTCCTTTCTCCCTTTGGGTCAGACTCCTGCTGCAGCCCCTGGAAAGAACCACCAAGAAGCTGGCCAAATTGATTTTTCTCCACGTCACAGGCCTCTGCTAGCCAACAGAGAGTTGGACTGCAGGAGTTGAGGTTCTAGGCAAAGGGGAAGGGCAGGGTGGATGGGACAAGGAGGAGGAAAGGAAAATTCAGCTCAGCAATTGTCTCATGAGTGGTTAAGGTCACTTAGACACTATGGGACAAAAGCAAGAGGTTGATAGCCTGGCCAGACAAGACCTAACTACTCAGAACTCAGGGGGCTTCCCACATTGGGGCTACACCTCTAACCCACCTTGAATCTTAAGGGAACTGAAAGAAAAGAGTCCAACATAATGAATGGGATAGGAAAGCGGTAGGACTATGGAGAAAGGGATAGAGGCTTGGGGAGGAGCCAGGAGAAAGAAAGACAATGAGTTCCGAATTCAGGAACTCTCTAGTCACTTGGTTTGGCACAATTTCTAAGTGTTGCAGCATCCTGCCATCTCAGGAAACATCCTGGGAAACATCCCATCCTTGGGTCCCCAGGGCCTCCAAGGTGGCATCTTTAGTAAAGGGGTTTCAAAATGCCAGTCCATGGAGGGTCACTGGTCAGAGACAAAAGTTCACTGAGTATGCCCGCACCTCCAAAAGAACAATGGTGAGTTGTTGTTGTTGTTGTTTTTTAATATAAAGTTGGATTTGATAAGTTTCAAAAGACTATCTTTTATTCTGAGTGTGTCCTTCCTGCTTTTCTACTAAGTAATGATTGTGACAGTAAACAGTAGGTTTTCTGTTTGTAATATACTTACTTGATAAGAAAGTAAATCTTCAAGGTTTGTAGTTGTTTTAATTTTATTGAACGATGAAATTTAAAAGTCTGAGAATGGGAGGTAAGAATGGTGAATAGGTACAAAAAATTAGAAAGTATAATAAGACCTACTATTTGATGGCACAATAGGGTGACTATAGTCAAGAATAACTCAATTGTACATTTTTAAATAACTTGAGTGTAATTGGATTATTTGTAACTTAAAGGATAAATGCTTGAGAGGATGGATACCCTCTTCTCCGTGATGTGCTCATTTCACATTGCATGCCTGTATCAAAATATCTCATGTGTCCCATAAATACATACACCTACTGTGTACCCACAAAATTGAAAAAATTGAAAAATAAATAAAAGTCTGAGAACTATTAACAAAGCGGTTAAGAACACAGAGTGTTCAGACAGACATGGAGACACCACTTATCTATTTATGAACTTCAGATAAGATTGCCAGATTTGAAAAACAAAAAACAAAAACAGGATGCCCAGTTAAAGTTGAATTTCAGATACATAATTATTTGGGGGTTAGTATACCCACACACACCCACACACACCACACACCACACACACACACCTACTTATTATCTAAAATTCAAATTATCTGAAAGCCCTTACTTGAGAAGATTGCCTAACTTTTTCATTCCTAACTTACACTAAGCGTTTACTAAATTTTACTTCTTGTTTTTATTTTGTTTTTATAATACACAGTATCAAGCAAACTTGTTGTTTTTGAAACCCTGGCTGTGTCACTTATGACTAGCTGTATGATTTAATCTAGTCATTTTATTCCTGGGAGCCCAAAACAGGAATTATAAATGTTCTTTCATTGACTTGCTGAAATAGCTCCCCAAGGTTCGTTATTGTCGCTCCCCGCCCAAGCTCCGGTACACCAAAACTACACATCCCACAATCCTTGGCGGCGTCCCTTGGCCATTACCTCATTCCCTGGCCTCGTTCTCCCCAGTCCCGGCCTCTCCAGGGGTGTGGCAGCGGGGCTGTTCTCGCGACTTTTGCTTTACCCTTCTGCTGTGCTACTGCTGTCGCGAGACTTCCTGCTCATCTGCCGCTCCCTTTGCCGCCGCCTTAGCCCGGGACCCGAACCCAGCCTCTCCCCTATCCGAACACCGGCCCCGGCTCCTCCGAGGCAACAGTCCCCCAGCCCCGTCTCGCCGCCGCCATGGCGGACCCTAAATACGCCGACCTTCCCGGCATTGTGAGTACAAGGCCGGCCCCGGCTTCCCAGGACCGCGCCCCCGACCTCCCAAGGACCCCCAACAGAAACCAGCCCGCGACCCCTCCCGCCTGCAGCCCATCTTCCGCCTAAGAGCTCCCGCCGCTCGTTCTCCGACCGGCCGCAGCACCCCCCGAACTCTTCTGACCCGACTGGGCCGGGCCGCCGGACGGCTCACCAGGCCCCCTTTACGGCAGTCGCCGGTAGCTCGGCCCAGAAATCGACTCCGGGTACTGACCGCTTGTGCCCGGGTGTTTCCACCATCCGTGTCAGCGCCGCCCATGCCCCCGCCAAATCTCTCCATAAGACCCCCACATCCCTACCCCAGACACACACACTAGACCACTTAGCGATTACCTTCATCCTGACAAGGAAAAGGTTAGCATGGCAGAACCCTCTTGTGCCAGATGGGGAGCTCTATCCTTGGGGGAACCTGTGCCCTCCCCCACCTCCCACTCCCATGACAATCCTGGCGTGTACCTTTTGTGCTGCCCTGCCTGCTTCTCAAGGTGCGGGTTGGGACACAGGACCTTGAGTACTAAGGTCCTGAGTCACTCTCAATCCTTGTGCCAGGGTAGTGGTGTACAGGGCCTAATTGGAGGATAGCCCTCACCTTCTTCGGCAGTAGTGATTGCCAAGGACCTGCCCACTTCTAGATTTAGGGTAACATCGTTGCTATCACTTACACTCACCGTTTACTGTCAGGTCCCAGTTGTCTCCGCTGTCATCCCTACCCCTTGAGACATGGGAATTGACATACTGTTGACTCACGGGGCAGGTGGAGGAGAAAGGACAGAACCCTGGCATCACACCCTGCCTTCTCCGTTAGCTTATTTAAATGGAGTGGAGTAAGGGGTGTTGCGATGCTGGATAGTGAGGTTGGGTGGTCACTGCTTCTACCTGCAGGCCAGGAATGAGCCAGATGTTTATGAAACCAGCGACCTGCCTGAGGATGATCAAGCGGAGTTTGATGCGGTAAGAATGTGTGCTGCCACAGATTCCTCCGAACTCTGACCTTTCTCCCCTAGACAGGTCCTTCCCTTTCTCTGGGGAACTACAGCAATAAGCGGGTATGCCAACCCCAGCCTGGGTGGTATATAGGTTGCAGGACTTGAAAAGACCTTGCTGGGCTTGCAGCCACCAATGAGCAACGGCAGGAGGGAGAGTCATGTCAGTGGAATTACAGCTAACAACATCTGTTTGCAAAGCCCTGATCCTTGGACCTTTTAAATAAAATTGAAATATCTCAAAACAGATTTGGTGCTAGTGACTTAGGCCCCTGGGTTTTAACCCATGGAAATGAATCATGAAGCCTGGGCACTTGTAATAAACTGCTACCGAGAACTAGACTTTGAAATATAGAGAAATACTTTTAAAATATGAATACCCAGTATCCACTGGGCAAGGAATTAAGAAAGTGATTCCGAGATTTTAGAGTAAAACAAATTTGAGGAAGAATTTCATATCAGCAGAGGTGAGATTGTGGTTGCATTTTTAGATCTGAGAACTCTGAGGATGGAGTAATTAGGTGCGGACACATTTTAACTATGAGGGGAAACACTTAGCATGGTTTATTGAATGTGTTCATTCTGTGGTTTTTTTTTTTTTTGTTTTTTGTTTTTGTGCAATGCAGAGGAAGAAATGTCACTGCCCCCAATGAGCCCCAGACTAATGGGGAATTAGGATACATATAGGAAACGTATAGAAGGAAAAAAAACAACAACAAAATTGAGTGAATGGAAATCAACATAGTAAAAACTCTGTTTAAGTGCCAAGGGGTGTGTTTATAGGATGTGTTTTAGGTTCTATTATTTCTGAAGAGAGCTGCGCTGGGATCACATTGGTGATGTGAGTTCTCAGTAAAGGTGTGTCCAAGAGTCATTGCAATATGCAGGCTCAGTTTGCTTGTCTGTAAGTCCTGTGGCTATTGTCTGTGGGGCTTGTTAGTTCTGGGGAATGCTGACTGCTGGCTTACAATGTATGGCTTGGCGTACTCACTTATTTCTTACTTGACTCCCCCATGTGGAAGTGGTTCTTACATTGTGGGAAACACCTTCTCTGTCCCTTCTCCCAGTGGTGTGGTCCTTGTGGCTTCCGTATTTGCTGGCATGCCAATCTATCCCCCAAGCTTGAGTATCTTGGAGATAATGCAGATGATGATGTTGCTCAAGAACCTGGGTGTGCACCTGTCACTCCAAGAGGCATCTTATAGGAAGCTGCCTCTGTCCTCACAGAATAGGAGTGTATACAGTTGGTTCTCTGTGTTTATGGGTTCTAAACCCATGGATTCAACCAACCATGAATGGGAAATATTTTTTTAAAATAAAAAATAGGCCCGATGCAGTGGCTCATACCTATAATCCCAGCACTTTGAGAGGCTGAGGCAGGTGGATCATTTGAGGTCAGGAGTTCGAGACCACGTCTCTACTAAAAAATACAAAAATTAGCAAGGTGTGGTGGCGAACACTTACAGTCCCAGCTACTAGGGAGGCTGAGGCAGGAGAATTGCTTGAACCCGGGAGGTGGAGGTTGCAGTGAGCCGAGATTGCGCCACTGCACCCCAGCCTGGGCAACAGCAAGACTCTGTCTCAAAAAAAAACCATTACAACAATAAAAAGAATACAATGAGATCACTTGGACACAGGAAAGGAAGCATCACACACTGGGTCCTATTGTGGGGAGGGGGGAAGGGGAAGGGAAAGCATTAGGAGATATACCTAATGTAAATGATGAGTTAATGGGTGCAGCACACCAACATGGCACATGTATATATATATATATGTAACAAACCTGCATGTTGTGCACATGTACCCTAGAACTTAAAGTATAAAAAAAAAAAGAATACAAAATTTAAAAACACAATATAACAACTATTTACATAGCATTTACATTGTACTAGGTATTTTAAGTAATCTAGAGATGATTTAAAGTATACAAGAGGATATGTGTAGGCTATATGCAGATACTATGCCAATTTATACAGAAGATGTGAACATATGCTTAGTATCAAGGGAGGTCCTGCAACCAGTCTCCCACAGTTGCTAAGGGACAGCTGTATGCTGAGAACTTTACTGCACTACCACAGTTCAGACTATTCAACTTAGGCTTAGGCTTCTGCCCTTCATGGTGAGATAATGAGTAGAACTCTTTCCTTTTGTCGCTGACTGTGATACAAACAGGTAGTTTCACAGTAATCCCCTTTCTAAACAAAAAAAAAATATATTGTCATTCCTGTTTGAAGATACTGGGATATCTCTTAATAAAAAGGAGATGACACCCATTCCAGGTGTGGAAGAACCTGATTGTGCAGCTCTGAGTGGCTGTTTCTCCCCCAGAGCCTGAACAGCCTATTTTAGTAGCCTCTAGTGGGGTGGCTGATGAGGAGAGGATACCGTGAGTGTTCATTTCCTGTGGCATATTGCCCAGGGTGCCAGTATAGAAGTGCATATGAGCTGAATGGCAAATAGAAGAAGAGTCGAATTGTTTCTGTCACCTAAGGCTCAGCTAAGTGACTCTCTGTCACTAGGGAGGAATGGGGTGGGCAGACCTTCAGCCGCTTCAGGAGCCCTAAGAGCCAAGATGTTTCCTGATGTCAGCTAATGTCTCTGGCCCTAGCATGTCCCTATGGGGCTTGCAGCTTTCGGGAAGTCAGCTGAGTAATGGCTCTGCCGCTGCTTTTAATACTGACGTAAATATGCAATTTGAGGAGCAGTGAATTGTATGCTTAGATAATCTAGAAATGTCATGTCCATGAGGCCTGGGATCTCAGCAGCAGCCTGTCTGTTTCCTGCCTACCTGCCCAAGACCTAGTATGAGTGACAGTGCACATGACCTGTCTTGTGGCTGAACCATGAGATTTTCAGTCACCTTCTTTTTTTGTGTGTTTTTTTGAGACGGAGTCTCGCTCTGTCGCCAGGGTGGAATGCGGTGGTGTGATCTTGGCTCACTGCAAGCTCCACCTCCCGGGTTCACGCCATTCTCCTGCTTCAGCCTCCCGAGTAGCTGGGACTACAGATGCCCACCACCATGCCTGGCTAATTTTTTTGTATTTTTAGTAGAGATGGGGTTTCACCGTGTTAGCCAGGATGGTCTCGATCTGCTGACCTCGTGATCCGCCTGCATTGGCCTCCCAAAGTGCTGGGATTACAGGCGTAAGCCACCGTGTCCAGCCTCAGTCACTTTCTTAACCCCTGACAACAGCGTTCTCTGCCTTAATCTTCAGATTATTTTCAACTTTAATTTTCTCAGTTTTTAAAGTAGGTCACAGGGAACAGAGGATTCAAGGCTAAGTAGTGAAAAATCTGCCTCCCACCCCTGCCTACCACCACTTAGTTCTCTTCCCTAGAGACAACCAATATGGACAGCCTCTTGTGGAACCTTTCAGGGGGTCTCCAGATTTCTTTCTATTTTTTGAGACAGAGTCTCACTCTTTCCCCCAGGCCAGAGGGCAGTGGCACAATCTTGGCTCACTGCAACCTTTGCCTCCCCAGTTCAAGCAATTCTCCTGCCTCAGCCTCCTGAGTAGCTGGAATTACAGGCATGCGCCACCACATCTGGCTAACTTTTTGTATTTTTAGTAGAGATGGGATTTCACCATGTTGGCCATGCTGGTCTGAAACTCCTGGCCTCAAGTGATCCAGCCATTTTGGCCTCCCAAAGTGCTGGGATTACAGGTGTAAGCTACCATGCCAGCCAGGTCTCCAGATTTCTGTCTGAAGGAATAGTCAAGTTGTGTCGACCCCACTGCTCCATAACTCTCTTCCTCAGATTCCTCTACTGTGGAAGAAATTGGGCTACTGAAGGAAAAATGTCCTTAGACATCCCTTAAAGATTTAAATTGCTAATTTAACTTAAACATAAACATTTTCCGATTCCCATAGTGGGGAGGATGGGGGAGGAAAGCATAAAAGATTTAAAGTTTGCTACAGATGATCCTGAATTTTTTTTTTTTGAGATGGAATTTCACTCTTTTTGCCCAGGCTGGAGTGCAATGGTGTGATCTTGGCTCACTGCAACCTCCACCTCCCGAGTTCAAGAGATTCTCCTGCCTCAGCCTCCCGAGTAGCTGGAATTACAGGTGTCCATCACCACACCGGCTATTTTTTTGTGTTTTTAGTAGAGACAGGGTTTCACCATGTTGGCTGACTGGTCTGGAATCCCTGACCTCAGGTGATCCACCCACCTCGGCCTCCCAGAGTGCTGGAATTACAAGCGTGAGCCAACTGTGCCTGGCCAATCCTGATTTTTCTACTATCCCTTTAAAACAATTTTATCAGGAAGTAAAATCTTCTAGAACAGGAATGGACCAGGAAAGGGCACAGGCTGTAGCCCTTTCCTCCTCAATCTGAGAAGATCTCTTTGCACTTCAGACACTGCCAGGTTAATTGGGGCAATAGGCTTGCTTGGAGATTTTTCTTAAAATGTTTGGAAAACTAATTCCCAAATAGAATTCCACCCACACACACCCCCACCCTAACCCCCGGGCCCACCGCCTGCCTTGGGTCGGTAAGGCTTTCTGCTAATGGCTTTTGAACTGCTGCAATAAGGGAAGTAAATTAAGAAAAATCTCATTAGAAACAATTTAGCTTCTCTCTTTATGGCGTAACTACCCCCAGTAAAAGGGGAAAAAATGACCTAGCCATAGTTTGAGGTGGCCCTGGCAGAGGCTTCATTTCTCCAAAAGGTAGATATTACTGGACACTCCTGAGATGAGAAACAGTAGGTCTCTTCCTTACAGTTTAGAAGATCCTGGAGTATGCTTGATTGTGTTCATTGACTGTTGGCACACTTGAACTTACCTGAGTTTTTCCTAATGCTTCCCCCATCCTCCCTCCTCACCACCTTGCCTGGACACTAGTTTGCACAAGTAAGACCATTCAATGCTTCTTCTCTGCATGTTTTTTTCATCTGCCATCTCGCATGCAATGCTCTGCCACTGTGCTATTGTTGTAGCTAATCGTTTTAAATTCCAGTGAGTCCCTGGCTGGGTCACTGAGGGTCCTGATGGCCTTATGTTTAAAGATCATTAATCAAGGGTTAGAAACAGCTATGATCCATGAATCATTGTCTCTTCCCCTTGTGAGGTCTGCAGAGTAAAACTGTCCAATGGAGGATGGGATAGAAGCATGGAGGCTATAAATGTTTTTGAACATGAGGCATTTAGGGGCTGGAGTTAGAAGAGAGTTGCCTTTCTCCTCCTCAGACTAAGATCAAATGAAGATATTTTTTATGGAACGACTTTTAGCTATGCTAGACAAGGATAGAGAACAAAAGGGATGACATCCACAGTCCTCAGTTCTTGGCTGTATGTGGATTATCTCTGGGAAAAACTCATTTTAATATTCCCCTATGCTAGGTCTTCAGAGAAATGTAAATGGGATCAGAAGGAGGTTTATATGCAATTGTAAGATAATAACTTGGATTATTTGTGCTTTTGTGAGTCTTTCTGTTTCTGCACCCCTCCTTTCGCAATGGATGGATGGATGGTCAGCAATATATTGATCCATCCCGGACAGTTTTACTCTACAGCTCTGTCCATCTTCCTTGTCATCATGATTTTGAAGTACCCTGGCTGCAGTGTTGGTGTATAGCCTGAATAGGCTCAGAGAATAGCAGTGGCCACTTTCCCTGTCTGATTTAGAACCTCAGATCTTGCCCTCTGAGGCATAGCTGCTTAGCCAAACAGCCCTGGGGGGTCTGGGAGTCTGTTAGTGAAAGAGACTGGGAGTCACATACTAGGTAAGCTGGCACCCGGGGTCAGGGCACTTGAAATCTTCCAATCAAGGTGACTAGTACTACTGCAGGTTATGCAGGAATCATGCCTAAAATCTCATCATCCTTCAACCCACCCATAGGACAGACCTGGAGGTGGTATATACTATCTGCAAACTAATATACCACTTTTCCTTTTCTTTGATTTTCTGTCCTCCCTATTCTGCCCAGTCCACTTGGTTTGAACTTGAGCTTATGGCCCATTGTCTTCTCTTTCTCCTTGAGTTTCTCCCAAGCTGGTTTTAGCTTGGTGGGACAAATCAGAGAAAGGTATAGTGTGTGTACTTCTCCTTTGTGTTTGCATGTGTGCAGCTATGGGTGCTTATGCCCACTCTATGCAGAGACATCCCAGCCTCGACCACAGGACAGGACCTGGAGCCACCTCTACCCTGAACTGAAAGAGTAATCTTTTTTTTTTTTGAGACAGAGTCTGACTCTGTTGCCTAGGCTGGAGTGCAGTGGCATGATCTCGGCTCACTACAACCTCCGCCTCCTGGGTTCAACTGCAACCTCCACCTCCCGGGTTCACATGATTCTCCTGTCTTAGCCTCTCGAGTAGCTGGGATTATAGGCGCCCACCACCACGCCTGGCTAATTTTGTATTTTTAGTAGAGATGGGGTTTCACCGCGGTGGCCAGGCTGGTCTCAAACTCCTGACCTCAAGTGATCCACCCGCCTCGCCCTCCCAAAGTGCTGGGATTACAGACGTGAAACACTGTGCCTGGCGGAAAGAGGAATCTTGGCTGGGACCCTAGCATCATCTAGGGAACAGAGAGGTTATGGGTCAGAGGTATCTGGATGAAATACTGGTGAAAGGAAGCACTTGTTTTTAATCCCACCATGTTTTTTCACATGCACACACCATCCTCAACCTTCCACACTTCCATCTGCCCATCAGCAGAGCTCCTAGAAAGGCAGGGCATACCACTGGATATCCCCTCCTGGCAGTTCTAAACCAGCCTTACCTCGAAGTGGGAGCCTTATCTATGTTGCCCAAACTCAAATAAGGCCTCTTGGAAATACTCTCACCCTTCCCCCTTGTCTACCCTCCAACCCCTGTGAATCTTGTGAACGGAGGGTTGAAGAAACATGTTCTGCACATGCGCTGGTAGCTGTGAATCTTAGTGTCCCCTGGACCCATCATGGCAGAATTGCTCTGGATCCCTTGGAGCTGCGGGGTGAGTTATCAACCACTCAAGGTGGAGGCAAACGTGCCAGGCTGCGTGAGGGACCAGGAGCAGCCCTGCCTCTTCCCTTGCAGAAGGAAATGAGAATGGATCTATATTTAGGTACTTCATCATTCCTTAAACTCACCATCTGTACCTGACATATTTTGTTCTGTCTCACCTAAAGTCTTATCAGACTTCCTACCTGATCGCTCTCATGGCGACTGATTCTGCCATCCAAATGTCTGATTTTTCACAGCTAGAGAAACCAAGAGATAGGAAGACAAGGGCCATCAAGTAAGAAGGGGAACTCCTCTCCTGAGAATCATTGACCCTCTATCAGCTACAAGTCCTAAGAATCTCTTTAACTTCTGCTTCATCTTCTGCCATTTCTAATAGCTTCCGTGCCACCTCAGCCTTCTCTCCCCAGTTTCCTATTCCATGCCACTGGCTTGTAACATCTAACTCCTAGTTTTCAGATGATCCTAAACTGCTGCTGTTAATGGCAACGCTTCATGACATCCTCACCACCAGAGGGAAAAGGGTCTCATGCTGTTCTTTCTCTTGGGGTATATGGTGACCCCAGCTGAAATTTCTTGGCCCCTAAATTTCACTAGGCTCCCCTGGGGCCCTGTGGTGCAGTGTGTTTGAAGACTGTCATGTAGTGCATGTGACAATTTGCTAATAACAATTTTGTCTTTTTTTTCCCTCCCTCATCCCCATTCCCCCACTCCCTTTCCTTTTAACTCTTTTGATTTTCTCACCTCTGGGGAAACCACAAGGAGCTGGTAAGAAGCCTGACCTTTCATCTGCTTTTTAACGGGGTGTGCTATGATGAGCAGTTGTTTCTCTGTCCTTTAGATTCTACTAAACCTTTCGTTCTTCTATTCAGTCCCACACACAGCCTTTTCCTATCTCACAAGTCACTGTAATTATACTGCCCCCAACTCATGCCCCAGATCTTCAAGATACTGCTGGAGTAGGTGCTACTGGAGGACTAGAGTGTGCCCCCAGGCCACAGCCTTGGAGAGGCTCCAGAGGATGCCAGCGCCAGGTAGCCCAACTGCCCCAGGACACTCTCCCACAGCAGGAATGAAAATGCTATCTGTCCCTATGACTGTCCAGAACCTCTGAGACTCACCGTCTGTGTGTTGACCCTCTTTTACTCCCTGCTTTCACTACTTAGGAACATAAATAAGAAAGTAGGCTCCCATCTGCATAGTGCCCGTCCATAATAAGGGCTTAACAAATGGTAGCTATGATTTTTTTCCTGGGTCTGTAGGTTATGCCTCCCATTCCTCTTTTTTAAGAGGATTAAACAAAAGAGGATGGGTGGGATTGGCCTGGATTGGGGCTTTCACAGGGAGAAGTGGCATGTTCCTGAGTATGAACTTCAGAGAAGATGGTTGTCTATCCTTAGCCTGAGCTCTTCTCAGTTGATAAGAGGCCAGAGACCACACAGCTATTAGATGGGTGGGTGTTCTGGCCGTAACATTTCAGAACAGGTTAAAGAGATAATCATTTGGGACTCAAATGTCTCTTCCCCTGGGCACTGGCATATGGGACATTGAGTCCTTTTTTTTCCCTTGATCTATAGCTTGTGCCCCTTTGCCCAGTAATTCCCTGAGGAAGAGGTAAAGATCAAAGTTGATAATTTGTCCTTTCCCCCTTCTTCCCTTATTTTTAAAGCTGCCACCCACACAGATTCCTGCTCTGACTAATAGAGCAGAAATGAAGGAAGGAGCTTCCTTCTATCTGCTTTTCTTTCTCAATGATGTCCCACCATGTCCCCCTCACACCCTCTCCCCACATACCTACACAGAGGCAGAGGTTCTCAGTCCTGGCTGTAGGTTAGAATCACCTGGACATCTGGCCCTACCCCAGATTAGAATCTCTAGAAGTGGGCCCAGGCCTTTTTCTTTTTTTTTTTTTCTTTTCTCTCTCTTTTTCTTTTTCTTTTTTTTTTGAGACAGGGTCTCACTCTGTTGCCCAGGCTGGAGTGCAGTGGCATGATCTCTGCTTACTGCAACCTCCACCTGCCAGGCTCAAGTGACCCTTCCACCTCAGCCTCCTGAGTAGCTGGGTCCACAGGCATGTGCCACAATACCCAGCTATTTTATATTTTTTATAGAGATGGGATTTCCCTCTGTTGCCCAGGCTGGTCTTGAACTCCTGAGATCCACCCGCCTTGGCCGAACTTTGGGAAGCCAAGGCGGGTGGATCACTTGGACCCGAATTCCAAATGATCCACCCGCCTCGGCCTCCCAAAGTGCTGGGACTATAGACAGGCTTGAGCCGCCATTGCCTGGCTGTCTCTTAAAAAAAAAAAAAAATTTCTAAGTGATTCTAACATGCAGCCTGGGGTGAGAACCATTGTTCTAGGTGAAAGAAGGAAGGTTCATTTTGCCTTCCTCCTGTAGATGGTGGAAATGTCATCCCCAACAGAAAAGGACTCCTGGGTCTCCCTTCTACTTCCATCAGTACTCTCTTGGGAGCTGTCAGGCTTCTGACAATTGAAAAAGGGACATGCAGTCAGGAGTGCTTGGTGCAGTCTTGCTGTTGTCACTGGAATCTGAACAGCATGTAGATACCTAGTAAGGAGGGAACCTCTCTGCTTCAGTTTCTAGGGTGAAGTCTCTTTTACCACCTATTGTGTCCCCTGTTTTTGGAAGAACTTCAGTGCTGGAAGCACGGCAGAGGAGTCAGGGAGAAAAATCAGGTGCTGCAGCATCTCTGAAGAGATGCTGGGCTGTCTCCATTTCAGAGCTTACACGTGGCTCTTGCCCATGGATACTCTTGGCAAGCAGATATTGCCTATGTTAGTTGCTTCTGAGATGTCCCATAAAGATAATCCAGTAAGCCCTTGCCCCTTCTCCCTATCCCTGAATTTGCTGGCCTCATGGCAGCCTGGAAATCAGGCTTCTGGTCAGGCCCTCTGTTGGCCTTCTTTTTGTACTAAGAGCTTGTGTCTTACCTTCAGCAGGTTTAAAGTCCTAACATTCACACTCAGGGTTAGTGGCTTGATTATCTGCCTTCCCTCCTCTTTCCTTCTAGCAAGGATAGGAGGTTAGCATTAAAATGGACTTGCTCAGCGGGCAAGGAGATTTACTTTTGGGAGGGGGAGGTTAAAAGAGGTCAGGTTGGTTTCTTGCCTTGAGTGCATGGTGTGTGCCAGACAACTGGGAGGGGTAGGGTGGGGGGATGGGAAGGCTTATGTACAGAGAGGGTGGGGAGGTTATTCTCCCTCTGTTCCCAGTTGAATGAGGGTGTTAATATTTATACAACTGAGGCTCCAAATTTACCAGGAAGCTTCAGTTTCCTAGGTTGAGCCTGGGTATGCACCTTGGAATAGAGCCACCCTTCTTTCCCCTTGGACAAGTAGGGCCCAGTCACCTAATGGTTTGGGGATTTTGTGGGATAGAGTAAGTTCTAGAGTGGGAATGAGTCTGTCTGTGTCCTAAACTCCCTGTTCTTGCAGGAGGAGCTGACAAGCACAAGTGTGGAACACATCATTGTCAATCCTAATGCTGCCTATGACAAGTTCAAGGACAAGAGAGTGGGGACAAAGGGACTTGGTGAGACTGGACTGGAAGTTGGGTGGGGGGAAGACTGGAGGGTAAGCATGAGAAGTGGCTTCCTGTCCTAAGGTCTTAGTGACTTGTGCTCAGGGGAAAGGGTCCCTCATGGAGATCTTTTATGGAAGCCCGGACAGTCACCTAAGACCACGACTGCCTTGGGCCTAGATCAGGTCTTCAGTTCCATCTTCTTTTCTTGGCAGATTTCTCAGATCGTATTGGAAAAACCAAGAGGACAGGATATGAATCTGGAGAATATGAGATGGTTTGTTGTGTGTGTGTGTTGATGGGAATGGTGTAGTGACCCTATCTAGCAGACATGTAGTAGGGAGATCAAGGGATACAGGTGGGATTCTGTTTCTCCTCTGTTCCTGAGGAAGCAGCAGGATGCAGCCAGGGAACCTCTGCCCCACTGCTGTTTGTTCTGGAGAGCCTCCAGCCCTCTGGCTATCCTCAGTTCTCTGGTACTAGGGTGTTGCGGATTCTCAATTGGATATGATACCTTTATGACTTAGGCCCAGGGTGTGGATGAATTCTTGAGGCTCCCCGTAATGAGATGTATAACATTACCCTCTGTGCTTGCTCTCTAGCTTGGAGAGGGTCTGGGAGTGAAGGAGACACCCCAGCAAAAGTACCAGCGCCTACTGCATGAGGTCCAAGAGCTGACAACTGAAGTTGAAAAAATCAAGGTAACTACAAACTCTCTTCTCCCCTCTCTGTTGTGACTTACACAGTAGAGGAAGACCTCAAGCAAGAAGAGAAAGATTCCCTGCCTGGCCGGGCACGGTGGTCACGCCTGTAATCCTGCCACTTTGGGAGGCCAAGGCAGGCAGATCACCTGAGGTCAGGAATTCAAGACCAGCCAGACCAACATGATGAAACCCCATCTGTACTAAAAAATACAAAAAATTAGCCAGGCGTGGCGGCACATGCCTGTAGTCCCAGCTACTCGGGAGGCTAAGGCAGGAGAATTGCTTGAACTCAGGAGGCGGAGGTTTCAGTGAGCTGAGATCATGCCACTGCACTCCAACCTGGGCGACAGAGCAATACTCCATCTCGAAAAACAAAAGAAAGATAGAAAGATTCCTTAAGCTCATTGATAAAGGGGCTAAGGTTTCCAGAGTTTAGAAATATGCATCCATCTGTATGCAGTGCAACATACAGGTGGGCAGTCTGTCACGCTAAAAACCATCCCAGTGACCTCCAGCTACAACTACCTGTAAAGGGCTTGACCTGTTTTTTTGCTTTTTGATTCATTCTTGCCATCCCCCGATTCTACCTTTTTTCACACTAGACGACAGTGAAGGAGTCAGCCACAGAGGAGAAGCTGACCCCTGTGGTGCTGGCTAAACAGCTGGCAGCCCTGAAGCAGCAGCTGGTTGCTTCCCACCTGGAGAAGCTGCTGGGACCAGATGCTGCAATCAACCTTACCGACCCTGATGGCGCCCTGGCTAAGTGGGTACCCTACTTTGTTGAAAAATCATTGCTGATTGGGGTTGTGGATGGACTCAGCCAGCTACTGACAGGGGTGCTAAGTGGCAGAGAAGTGGCCTAGATGTTTCTTAATGCTGATTATGAGCCAAAAGTGAGGGAGAGTGACTGACCCTCCTCCTTCCAGTCATGATATTATTACTCGGTCTCCTAACTAGGCGCCTACTGCTGCAGCTGGAAGCAACGAAGAACAGCAAAGGTGGCTCAGGGGGAAAAACCACTGGGATCCCCCCAGATAGCAGCCTTGTCACTTATGAACTACACTCTCGGCCTGAGCAGGACAAGTTCTCTCAAGCTGCCAAAGTAAGTGTGGATACAGCGTTGGTTGGGAAGCCAAGGGGAGACGTGGCCCTAGAGATTTTCCTGTCTCTCTCCAAGGAGAGAGTGCTGGGAAGGCTTCTGATTCCTCTGATTCCTCATTCTGTATGTTTCTTTCTTTTCTTTCTTTTTTTTTTTTTCCGAGACACAGTCTTGCTCTGTTGCCCAGACTGGTGTGCAGTGGTGCTATCTCAGCTCACTGCAAGCTCCGCCTCCCGGGTTCACACCATTCTCCTGCCTCAGCCTCCCGAGTAGCTGGGACTACAGGCACCCACCACCACGCTGGGTTAATTTTTTGTATTTTTAGTGGAGATGGGGTTTCACCGTGTTAGCCAGGATGGTCTCCATCTCCTGACCTCGTGATCTGCCCACCTCGGCCTCCCAAAGTGGTGGGATTACAGGCGTGAGCCGCTTTACCTGGCCTCATTCTCTGTTTCCCTTGCCCATCTACCTTCGGTTAAGATTTTAAGATTGTGGCTAGGTATGTGTTCCAGGGAAAGGAGTTCCTTGGGGTGGCAAGTGGCATGCAGAGTAGAACAGGATCGTATTCCTCCCACTGCAGCAGCAGGGAAGCAGACGGCAAATCTCACCTCCTTCCTCCCACTAGGTCGCAGAACTTGAAAAGCGCCTGACAGAGCTGGAGGCAGCTGTACGTTGTGATCAGGATGCTCAGGTCAGGTGTTCTCCCGTACATAATCTGAGCCTTAGATCCTGCAACTCTAGGCCTTAAGGTCTACGACATTCCACATAAGCCTGGGAGGAGTCATCAAAGGGCTTCAGTTACAGGGATCAGCTAGTGGGTTCTCAGCTAGAACCAGGAAAGATGAGAGAAGATGATAATCATGGAGATACAAGGACCACTGACTTCTTCCCTCCCTTTCCCACCAGAATCCCCTTTCTGCAGGTCTACAGGGAGCCTGTCTCATGGTGAGTTTGGAAGAAACTGGAGTGTTTGGATTACAGAGGGGATAATTGGGATTGGGTTTGCTTTGAGGATTATTTTTGAGTTTGTAGCTATGTATTAATTTAGTGGAATATGGGAGGCCTCTTCCTAGTCTGATCCTTTCCTCTTCATGATGCTTGTCCCAACTCTCATCCCCAGGAGACTGTAGAGCTGTTGCAAGCAAAGGTGAGCGCCCTGGACCTTGCAGTTTTGGATCAAGTAGAGGCTCGGCTACAGGTATTAAATGGAGGGAAAATTAAATTATGGATAGCTTGGGACTTTGGAAGCCCTGGATGCCCTATCAACCTTAAAATCTGTGTTTTCAGAGTGTCCTGGGAAAGGTGAACGAGATTGCCAAGCATAAAGCCTCTGTGGAAGATGCAGATACACAAAGCAAGGTCAGGAAGACACCTTTCCCATCTCCTTTCCACTCCCTCAGGTTCTCCGAGTAGCAGTGTCAAAGCATGAGAACACACTGACTTCTCAGGTCCCCATCTTCATAAGCTCTTATCAGCTGGCAATGTCAGGGCAGTGCTTCCCTCTACCCACTTGATCCTTTTCCCCACTATGGTGAAGTAGCAGCCTGTGCTTACTGACCTGGCTGCCTCAGTCATCCCCTGTGGGCCCTATTGTGTCCCTTCAGGTGCACCAGCTATATGAAACTATACAGCGCTGGAGCCCCATTGCCTCCACCCTCCCTGAGCTGGTGCAGAGACTTGTCACCATCAAGCAGCTGCACGAGCAAGGTGGGAGGCCAGCTGCGAGGAGTGCTAAGAGAAGTTGAAAAATGGGCAACTTTTGGTCCCCTCCTTCGTCTTGGATTCTAGTCTCAACTATACTTTTCTTACTTTTGTAGCCATGCAGTTTGGTCAGCTCCTGACACACTTGGATACCACCCAGCAGATGATTGCTAATTCCCTGAAGGACAATACCACCCTCTTGACCCAGGTGTGTGCCCCTTTGTTGATCTGCCTCCTTTTTCTAGCATGTACAAACTAGGTTCTCTAGTGTTATAGGGTTCTGCTGTAGCCTATTTTGTAGTATGGTGTTGTGGCAGGGGGTTGGTCTGGAGTCTCCATCCTGTTTTCAATGTGAAGGCCCTTCGACAACTTATTTAACCTATGAGCCTCCATCTTTCCATTTGGGAAATTATACCTCCCTCAGAGTTATGTAGATGAGGTGAAATAATATAGGCAAATTGTTAGGGGCTAGTGAACATGTTTTCTTATAAAACCCCACTCTTTCCCTCTGTCGTCTCAGCTTTACTCTCCCTGATAAGCACAGTACACTGGAAGGAATCTGGGCTTTGAAGTTAGAAGTCAGGCCTTAATCTGGTTCTGTTGCTTCCTTTCTGACCCTGGACAATGAGCCTCACCTAGTTCCTTCATTCTTTTAGTAATGCCTGGCACACAGCAAGTCCACAATTTCTTTTTATTATTTTATTTTTTATTTTTAACATAAGAGTTTCGCTCTGTTGCCCAGGCTGGAGTGCAGTGGCGCGATTTCAGCTCACTGCAGCCTCCACCTCCCAGGCTCAAGCGATTCTCCTGACTCAGCCTATTGAGTAGCTGGGATTACAGGCACACGCCACCACACCTAATTTTTGGTTTTTTTTAGTAGAGATGGGGTTTCACCATGTTGTCCAGGGTGGTCTCAAACTCCTGACCTCAAGTGATCCACCCGCCTCGGCCTCCCAAAGTGCTGGGATTACAGGTGTGAGCCACTGCACCTGGCCACAAGTCCACAATTTCTGTTGGAGGCACTATTCTCAGTGCTGGAAGGAGCATTAAAGTCGAGAGACCAGCATCAATCACAGGATCACTGAGATAAATGAAAAAATATATAAGGACTTAGAATAACATCCTCTTCCTCCAGAGCAGTTTTCTAACATTTTGAACTAGTGAAACGCTCATTTCAACAAAATCTTATTTAGCTCTCATTGCATAAAACAGATTTTTAAAAACTGTTCTGGTTGAAGTCAGGATGGGAATTCTCAAGAGTCCTGCCTGCTTGGCACACCTAGAGCTTGGTCTGTGGTACTCTTAAGGGTAGCTTGAAAATTGGTGCTATAAACATCCCCCCTCTGTGGCCCACAAACTGCTTCCATTTCTTGTCTTCTCTCAGAGAATTCCTTCAGGTCCTCATCCAGTTAAGCATCTGGACCTGACAAAGAGTAAAACCTCTCTACCACTTTGTAGGTGCAGACAACCATGCGTGAAAACCTGGCCACAGTTGAGGGGAACTTTGCCAGCATTGATGAACGGATGAAGAAGCTGGGAAAGTGAGCACATTTGGGAGCTGGAGAACAGGGGTAATCCCTACCCCTGTGAACTGTTAACAGCTTACATAGGGTTTCCCCTTTACTATAACTCTAGCATCCCCATCCCATTTGACACTGGGGGCAAGGGTTCTTCTTGCATGTGGGGTTTACACCCCTCCCCTGATGAATAGAGTGGTAGCTAGGGGTTGGTTATTAGAAGGTGGTCTCCCCTCAGGCCTGGGGGATAAGGACGTGGGCCCAGCCACATGCCAGCTCATGTCCAATATTGCTTTGCCTGGTGTGGGGAAGGATTGGGTCTTGTCCTCCAACACAGCTTCTGTGGCTGACTCTAATACTGTACAACTGTTTCTGACCATTAAATGCTGTTGTACTCTGTGTGGCCTCTGCTGTGTTTCCTGGGGAGGAAGCAGCACTAGGACATAGGCATTCATCATAACAGGCAGTCTAAGCCACTCTATACTGCAACAGATGGATTTAAATTGTAACCTGTTCTTACCAAAGAACTAAATAAAAAATGAGTACAGAGCCAGAGCCAGAGGTTCAAAATATTCTCATCTGTTAAATTAAGAGTGTCTCCCATAGAAAAGCAGTGGAGGCCCCATAGGGCAAGTACAAAACAGAATTAAAACTCCCAAGGGTCTTGTCTTTACAAAAGAAAAGGCAGGAGGCAGCCCCTGGACAGCTGGTCATGCTGGCCGCTCCGGTTGGACCACGTTGCATAATCCTCAGTCGCATCATCACAACGTCTCTGAGCGTTTTGATGGGGGGAGAAGGGGCAGTGTAGTGTGTATGGGAGGAGAGGCCCAGAGGGCTCTCTTTGCCCCCTTACCCCCTTTTTTATATCCCAGAGGAAAGTGGGGGGAACCTGGCTACACCTTGAAATGAGGCTATGTGTTTCAAACCTGGGGACAGGGGTAAGAGGGGATCTGTGCTTTGAGCAACCTGAGCCAGAGGCAGAGGGGTGTTGGAGGGGTAAGGGGAGGATGCATGATGCTTATTGCTTTGTACCTTTCACTGGGAAGGAGGGCAGCAGCCAACAGTAGCTCACAGGTTTGTAAACTGAGCCTGTTGGCTTTAAGAAGGGAGGCAATGAAATCGAATTAAATATAAAAGAGTCATTTGTGCAAAAATAACTTAAACAAATAAAAGACCTGGGGAAGGGGGTGTTCCCCTTAGCGCCTGGTGGGGAAAGGGCCATATACCATCCCCCCCCAGGCCTTTTCAGTGACATGGCTTGGGGGGGAGGGGGTGAACTTCCCTGCCCCCTGCAATGGCTCAGGATGGGATTGTAGGGAAGGAGTTGCATTTGTGCTCTGAGTGGGGAGTAGTGCCCCCACCCACTGTCCACAGGTGCAGGTGGCTGGCAGGGGCTCCCAAGGCTCAGCACTCAGCTCTCCCCAATCAGGGTTAGATCCAGCTCCAGGTATGGCTGCTATGGGGCCAGTTTCCTCCTCTTGTTTTTGGCAGGACGGCCAGGGCGGGCCCGGGGAGGCAGAGGGACAGCCGCCTAATACCAGAGGAGAAGTTGAAAGAAGTGGTCAATTGCTAGGTATCAGGAAGTCGTCTTTTCTCCCCACTCCCTCTAACCCTCCTTTACTCCTGTTGCCTCATCGCTTACACCCTACCCATACACCCACCCACCCAAACACACACTTACTCGGGCTGTAGGGCTGGGTTCCAAGGTAATGTCCTGGCGGGAGCTATTGCTGTTCCGCGTAGGGCTGCAATAAGGGGCACAGATGATCAGCAACAGCTCCCAAGCACCAGGTGAATTTCAGAAGTTTGGGTGGGAAACTTTTTACATTTGGATAGTAAAGGCATAACATCCTTCCTCATATTCAAATAAGTACCTGCCCTTTTGAAAACCAAGCCACTATTTGGACATTAGAACTGTCCAAACCAAAAAGTAGTAGGCAAAGGCCAGCACTATAGTAGGCCCATCACTCACTTGTATTTTCTCCTACGGCCACGACGAGACTTTCTGACTACTCCCGGGGGCACCTGAGAAAAGATGGACTGTGTGTGTGTGGGAAATTTCGAAAAAGGTACCACAGCCCCAGCCTTTCCTCAGAGCCCCTGAGCCCAGACTGCCAGCACTCTGCACTCACCTTAAGGTCCTCAGAATGGGGCCCAGGAGGGGGTGGATCCTTGGGCTCAGCACCCCCTTCAGCCAGCTCCCCATTATGCTGCCAATGGTGGGTTCTTCTTGGGGACCTTTCCATTTGTCCATTGAAGCCACCACGTGTCCCCCATTTGAGGGCCAGTCGGCCAGGCTCCCGCCGGCTGCCAGGCTTTCGGCCCCGGGCTGGCCTGGCCTCACCATTAATGCCCCTAAGTCCCCCTCCTCCCCTCCGGCCCCGTTTCCCTGACCCCCTCCCAGTGAGCAGCTCAGGGACTGGGGGGTCGGGAGAACCGTGGGGTGGGGCTAAGGCACTGAGGGGAGGCCGGGCAGGCTCTGGTTCGAGGGCTGAGGCGGGGCTCTCAGGGGGTAGACAGGGGGCTTCTGGCTGCTCTGGAGGGATCTGCTGGCAAAAAATAAGTTCTCAGTCAATCCCAAATACGGTCCCTCTTCTGCTATAACTCAGAAAGCCCTAAATTTCCAGTTTGAGAAAAAATTATCTCCCTGACAAACACATGCCCACACCCTCACCTGGAGACTCTGTAGCAGGCAGGCTAGGGGACTAGAAGCCTCTGAGAGGGGTGGAGGAGCTCCCCCCCCAGGGAGGAGCTGCAGCCCCAACTGGCCAGAGAGAAGAGGGCCAGGAGGCTGCAACAGGCCGGGGAGGGCTCCAGGGCTGCTGGTCAGTGAAGACAGGTCACCTGTTGAGAAATTATAGTCAGGGGTCTCTCCCTAGGCAAACCAATTAGGCTGAGCAGACCCTACTATTCTCTTTAGGCTTTATCCAGTGGCCAAAGACTTTCTTCCCCAATTTATTCAGCCACTACTCCCAAGTTTTACGGCTGCTTTTTCACACCAAGAGTGTGAATTCACACTCCCTCAGACTCACCCAGCAGGCTGGCACCCAGCAGAGGGCTAAGGAGTTGGGGGGGTCTCCCTGAGTTGGAGGGGGCCTTGCCCAGAGAGGAGGCTCCCGGGTCAGTAGTTGCCGTGGTGACACTGGAGGTAGGTGGTCCAGGTTGGGGGGCACTCAGGACACAGGGCTAAGAAAAAAGAATGATTCTAACACGTGTGTAAAATACTCAACAGATTTATAGTGCTTTCACATCCACTATCTGACTGAAGCCTCAAGTGAGATAAGCCATGCTTATTAAATACAGACCCAATTCTTGTAGTCATCCTACCCCCAGCCAAGAACTAAGGCCTCCCCAAAGGCCCCAAGGAAGAGCTCAGGAATGAAACTGAAAGCTTTTGATTCCCAGCTCCCATCTCTCATTCTACGTTGTGTTCTGTCCCAGCTACTCACCCCCATCCTCACCTGGGGGGGTGTCCCCGAGGGGGGATCCAGGCTGGCAGCCAGCAGCGCAGAATTTAAAGCTATGAGGGTAGGGGGGGCTGAAAGTGGGGGGAAAAGTAGGGGCGACAGGTCTCCCAAGCCTGAAAATGGCTCCCCACTTGGACCCCCGGCTCCCTCTGCAGATCCCTCCCCATCCCCAGCTGTGGGGCCCAGAGCCAACAGGGGCAGGAAAGAGGCAAGGAGGTTGCTGGGAGGTGCTGAAGGAGGTGGAAGAAGGTCTGAGGGTGGTGGAGGAAGCAAGGAAGCCACCAAAAGCGAAGGCCCTTCAGGCTCTCCTGGGGCTAGGGGAGGACCAGGTCCTCCTGGTGGGGGTAGCAGGGGCTCAGGAGGAGGCTGTCCTCCTCCCCCAGCCAGCACACCAAATAAACTGTGGTTGAGCAATGGAGAAGGTGGAGGCTGCCCCAGACTCAGAGGGAGAGGCAAGGCCCCAAGCATCCCAGGGAAGCCAGCTCCACTCAGTGCCAGGCCCTGCTCTGGGCTGGGGAAAGGGAAAGCCTCTCCACCAGCCAGGGGAGGCAGAGGGCAGGCCGGGCCCGCCCCCATCCCCAGCCCTTCGGATGGGCTTTGAAGCACAGGGCTGGGGACTACCGGGGCTTTGGAGGCAGCTGGTGGGGCAGGGGCACCTGTAAAAGAGGAGAGAAATTCAGCTCAAGGGAGGCCCTTTCTCCCAGCATCCAAAGAAGCCAACCTCCCTGCCCCCAACCCAGAAAACCCTCAAAGAGCTCTCTGAACATTCCCCTAAATGCCTTGGCTGCCTCTTTCCATCCAGGATGAGGAAGGGCTCCACAACACTCACATACCTGGCACACTGCTGAGGCTGCCACTGGTGGTCCCAGGCAGGGAGGACTGGATAGGGTGCCTGGGCTGGGGAGGGCTCCCTGAGGAGAGGGTTGGGGGAGGAGGAAGGTGTGCATCTGACCCCAAAAGGTTAAAGCTTCCATCAGAGTGGGAAGGGCCAGGGGTGGGGAGTCCCAGCAGGGACAGCACAGAAGGGAGAATTGGTTGGGATGGTTCTGGGAGAGAAAAGGGTTGGGGGACAGGAGCAGGGGCCCGAGGACGGCTCCGTCTAGGGGTTTGAGGGCCTCTCCCTTCTAGCAATCGAAATACAGTAGGGGGTCTGCGGGGACGACGCTGAGAGGGACGAAGTGATGAGGAGTGGGAAGCTGAGGGCACCGGGGCACGGGGCCTTCGGCCCTGTAAAGTGCTGGGAGGGGGTAGTGGGGGATGCTGTGCCTTGGCCGCTGCAGAGAGTAGGCTGCTAGCAAGGAAGGGGGGTGCCCCAGGCCCCTCCACCGTGGGGGCCCCTCCCAGGGGCCCCAAGACCAGGGGCAGGTGCATAGTGGCTGAAGACACTGGTGGCTGAGTGGCAGGACCAGGGTGGGCGGGAAGATTATTGCTCGGGGGCAGGGGAGGGGGTGTTAAGGCATCACTACAGTGGAAGAGAGGAGGGTCTGAAGGTGGTGAGGAGGAGGCATGAGGGGCCGGAGGAGAGCCCAGGTCAGAGGGCACCAGGCTGGATCTGAGGGCAGCTCCCCAGTTGTATGAGGGAGCATTGAGGCTGATAGCAGGTGGAGGAGGTGGGGCTGGAGAGGGGGCATTGCCCCTTGGGAGGAAACGGGGGCTGCTACTGCCCCCAGAAGGGACTGGGTCAGGAAGCCTTGGTGGGAAAAGCCCCCCAGGGCCTGCTAGAGTGGGGAAAGCCTGGGAAGCTGAGGGTGGTTCTGGGGGAAGGGAGCCAGGACCCCCATTAAGTGGAGTTGTAGGAGGAACTCGACAGGGAGGGCGGGCAGAGGGGGGCCCTGGGGACACAGTGTGGAACATTTGGGGGCTCGCTCCCTCTCCTGCAATAAATGAAAAATGAAGGGTCAGCCTGTGGCTCCCCTTCCAAAAACTTTCTTTTGTCTTCATTAGTCCCATCTCCCACAAGTTCCCAACCTCCCTGTGCCCTCCTCTCACCACGTAGCTCCCCACCCACTCCCCTTTCTCTTTGCTCCCTCTCATGGAACTCCCACCACCAGCCTTCCAAGCCCTTAGGTTTTCCTCCGTCTTCTGTAAAGTGGCAGAAGACTCACCAGGAGAAGAGTGTGAGCAGGTGGTCTCCATGCTGCGGTACAGAGTTGCCATAGCAACAGCTTTCCGCCGGTGGTTGCACAGCTTGGTCATGTCCTCCTCTGATGCTGGCCCCACCCCAGCCCCACCCAGGGTCACCGGGGCCAAAGGGTCAAAGTTGAAAACCTGTAAGGTGGAAAGCAAGGACAGGGACCCTGAGGGGCTGGAATCTGTGGAAAGGGCTACCTCAGTCAGTGATTTGCATTAAGACTTTTAGCTTATCTCTGTACTCTCAGGCACCCCTCACCACTCTGACCTTGGGGACATTAAGTGGACACTCCAGACCGCACTTGCAGGTCCCATCGCTGAGGAGGTAGCTCCGGGTTTGCTCCAAGGAAGACAGCTCTGTGCCACTTGGACTGGAAGAGGACAGGGTCAGAGGACATGGGGTTAGCTGGCAGTGAATCAGGCAATACTCCTAAAACACAGTGCTTAAGTTACAGATCCTCCTAGAAGAACAGAGGATAAGGAATGTGGGAAGACACAGAAAGAGGGAGAATGGATTCAAAGGCCAAGAGCTACAGCAAGCAAAAAGGCTGAGGAAGGAAGGGGAAGAGAGGAGAGCAATCGGGTACCAGAGAGCTGAGCTGAGAGGAGAAGCGGAAGAAAGAAAACCCGGGCAACTGGAGTGGCAGAGCTTGGGGACCTGGGAAGATCCGTACCTGATGTAGAGCACAGCACCCTCTCGCACACAGCGCTGCCAGCCGATGGGGACAGATGTGGCCACAGGGCCCCCAGCTCTGTCTGCTCCACTGCTCTCATTGCCCCCATTCATTGTGTGTAATCAGCTCCCGCGTGCCTGATAACACAGACATCCATGTAGGCACTAGGAGGATTAAACTGGGCGAGGTACCTGAGGGAGGACTCCAGGAAGGCAAAGGTTGTGGGGAGACCCAAGAAAACTCAGGGAAAGCCCCAGAGGAGCAAGGGGAACCCCTCAGAGAGCTGGGAGGGAGAATGAGGAGTCCTCTGCTGTATCACCACAGCTACCTGAACATCTCTGCAAACATTGTGGGGTCCAGTCTAAAGCCGGGGCCACCAGCTTAGCCCACACCTGCAACGCAAAGTAGAGAGATGGGACTATCAGGAGTCTGCCCAACTCTGAAGAGCACCACAGCCCAGCACCCTCTCAAGAGAAAGATCCTTACATCCTCTCAAGAGAAAAATCCTTAACAATGTGAGGCAAGCGCCTATAAAGACCTCGGGGATCTGCTGGCTTAGTCTACAACCATCCTTTCCAAGCCCAGTCCCTAGGGACCAGAGGGTCAGAACCTCAGCTCCCTAGGACCAAGAAAGTCTAGCACAATTCTTAGGCATATGAAGGGCAAGGCCTCCGTCCATTCGGAATTGAAGACTTCAACCAGGAGTATGGGCACATTCCCATAATGCTAGGCCACTAGGAAGTTTCCCAGAGTGTCTGGCTCCTGTCGTTCCCTACCCAGGAAGATGATATAAAAAGTACAGATTGCCCCACAGGTCACCAGGCAATTGCCCAACTGCCCGCTGGGGTGGTACCAGCAGAACTCCCCCCATGCCTGCTCCATCAGACAATCGCTGATCTAGTTCATTCGGGTTTTAAAAGGTGAGGATCACAGCTCAGTCTTTTCCCAGGATCCTGAGAAGCTCCTGATTTTCCCTCAAGCCTAAGGCAAAGAGATTCAGAACCTCCTTATCCCACTGACTCCAAGAGAGCCTGTTCTCCGATATCTCCAAGAGAGCCTATCCTCCGATAGGAGGGGAAGCCCCTCCAACCTGCAGGTATCCTCCCCAGACTCACCATCGCTCCCACCCCACACTGGCGGCTTCCAAACTTTCCCTCTCATAACAAGGCGCCCTGTCACCCAGACTGCTTCCCTCAGCTTGAGGAGGAGGGGAAGGCGCACGAAGTAGGAAGGAACTTGGGGAGAGGGCGGGCGGAGGGTGGGCGAAGCACTGAGGGGAGGGCGGTGAAGAAGGCAGAAGTCAGGCAGTGAGAGGGAGAAGCGGCGGGGGCAGGTGAGGGCGGGGGAGTGGGGATGGGGCCGGGGAAAGGGGCCGAGAGGACGCGGAGGGGGCAGAGGGTAGGGACAGGAGGGGGGGGGGGGGGGAGGGGCGGGGTGGGGGGGCCGGGCCCCGCACTCACCGCGGCCCATGGTTCGGCCGGCCCCGCCCTGCGCAGTCGCGGCCCAGAGAGTGAGTGGGAGGGGGTGGGAGGAGGGTCGGTGGAGCCCGAGCCTCCGGTACGGCCCCGGCCGGTCCTAGCAGGAAGCGCCGCTGCCGCCGCCGCGGATCACCGAGCGGCCTCCCGCGCATGCGCCATGGGGGCCAGGGGCAGCCCTGGGGATTCCGTTCCCAGAAGGCACTGCGCAGGCTGCTGCCGCTGCCGCCGCCGCCGCCGTCGCTGCCGCAGCCACCGCCGCAGCCACCGCCGCCTCCGCCGCTGCCCGGACGGGAGAGGGGCGGGGCCGGGCCCCCGCCCAGCGGACAGCGACGAGCCAACTGGAGGGGCCGCAGTGCGCATGCGGGAGCGCGCCTACCCCTCCCCCACAACCCCCCATTAATCCCCAAGAGAACAAACACCCCACGCGGCCCCCCTCCCTCCGCGGAAGGATCTGCGCCTCTTCCCAGGCCACTGGTGGCCAATCCCAGCCCTCCTCGGGGAGGGGCCCCTTCCAAAGCCACAGTCTGTTGCGGGAGCCAGGAATGCCAGGTCCGGGAGGGGCCAGGCCCGAAAGATGAAAGTCGCGACTTGCCCTGCCCCGCCCCAAAGGCTTCCCGGGTAGTGTGCTGGGACTTGACCCGCCTCTCCAGGTCAACATGTCACAACACGACCTCGGCCTGTCAAGTCACATGACCTCTGCCTGTCACTGACAACCTGGTCTGTCTTTAGGCCAGGAGAGACCATCTGGTCCACCCCCCACACCACCCCCATTTTCAGAGGGGAAATGGAGGTGTGGAGCAACGGAGCAGCCTAACCAAAGACCTGTCACAGACACACCACTCCAGTCACAACCGGCCTTGTGACAGTTTCTACTTAAACTCTGGCTGCCCCCATGAGGGTATGACAGGATATGTAACAGGCCACCACATGGCCTCTGTTTTCAAGGCACAAGAAAAATACTTTGCATTCGGCGTGGTGCGTTTTACTTTTGTTCAAGTTGCCTCCAAGTTCATGGTTCTCATTTTACCCTTACAACTCGTTAATTTACAAACAAGGACGGTAAGATCCCTTGGTAAGTGAGGGGGAGTTGAGGCTAAAATCGCGGCCCCGGTCTCCCCAGTCCAGGGCTGTCCTGCGCTGAAGTGCACTTACACGTCCCAGGATGAGACTCCGCTGTAAATCTCGACCCGAACACCTAGGAGGCAGGCCTGTGCCGCGCTCCTCACAGCAGGGAGTCACAGGACTTGCTGTCTGGTACAGCAAGAGAGGGTCTTGGTATTGGAGAAAGCTGTAAGAGTACAGTGGGGGAAAATAGGTGGCCAAACAGAATTGGGTCCACTGGGTAAAATACATGACTTCTGGCAGGCTGAGGGCTTAGCAACTCCAAGGTAAAAGTCAAGGGCGCTGTTGTGAGAGAAGCGGAAAATGACTACCAAGGGATTCCAGTACCTCGGCCCCTTTTGGGAGATTTACGGGGCTAGACCACCCCGGTTTTTAAATTTGTTTTTCGTTTTCGGTGAAACGTAGTCTCGCTCTGTCACCCAGGCTGGAGTGCAGTGGCGCGATCTCGGTCACTGCAACATACGCCACCAGGGTTCAAGCGATTCTCCTGCCTCAGCTTCCAGAGTAGCTGGGATTACAGGCGCGCATCACCACACCCGGCTAATTTTTGTATTTTTAGTAGAGACGGGGTTTCACCATGTTGGTCAGGCTGATCTGGAACTCCTGACCTCAAGTGATCCGCTCTCCTCAGCCTCCCAAAGTGCTGGGATTATAGGCATGAGTCACCGAGCCCGGAGACCTCTCTAAGAAGACTCGAGATGTCGACAATCCCAGTGGATGGATACCAACTTTCAAAGGAAAAGTTCAAAAGGCCTATATGACCATTAGCTGGGAGGGGCCAAGGAAAATGGGAGTCCCTTATAGTGGAGGTAAAACGCCGGCTAAAGCTAGGTGGGCGGAACAGCAGCTTCTGGGGGAGACAAGCGGCAAAGAGGCTCCACACGACCGACTACGGACGGCCAACGCTGGTAGCCGTTGGGGCCGTTGGGCGCCGGGAGCTGGCGCCCCGCCCTCTCTCCTTTCCCCCACCCTCTGCACCTCCCACCACCCTCGTAGTCCCCTGCGCGTGCGCGTGCAGACACCGGTTGCCAAACATTGCATCATCCCCGCCCCCCTTTCCTCCCCTCCCCCCGCTACACTCCCCTCCGCGCGCGCGCATGACTCACCCACCGCCTCCGTGAAGCCTCGTGACCCGAAGCCACTTCCGGGTCCGACACTACGTCGACCCCCTAGCGAGAGGGAGCGACGGGGGCGGTTCTGCGGAGCTCCTGAGTGGCGGATACGAGGGACGAGGCGGGGCCAATGCCGGCGTGCCACTTTCTGATTGGTAGGTTTTGGGGTCCCGCCCCTGAGAGGAGGGCAAGGCCATGGTAAAAGATTACAGCTAGGCGCTCCCGAGGTCAGAGGCTTAAGTCTAAGGCACTGAGCGTATCATGTTGAAGATGAGCGGGTGGCAGCGACAGAGCCAAAATCAGAGCTGGAACCTGAGGAGAGAGGCGAGTACTGACTCCCATCTGCCCTTTACCCTCCCGTCTCCTCAGAGTTGGGGCATCCGCTCTTTAGGATTGGCCTCACGCCTCCACAGTGAAGTCAGGGACCGTCCGAGAGAGGAATGGGGAGAGTCCCTTATTCTGGGGTGGTGCTTACAAACCCCCATTGCTTCGGACGACAGCGTCTCTCCACCCCTGCCCGGAGCCGGAGCATGGGCCCTGCTCTGTGCTGCTGGGCAAAGGGACCTCGGCTGCCCTAGGGAAATTCATTCTCTCCCGTAGCCAACTTCAGGCCACCTCGTTAGGCCTGTCTGGGGGGAGGCAGCAGGACACACCCCCGCTCTAAGACTGAGTTACCATGGCTCAAGCCGTTTCCGCCCGTTCGCCACCATCGGCCTTCTCCCTACCCTACCCCCAATCCTGTCTCAGTCTCGGCGTCTCTGGTGTCAGCATGGCCACCTCGGTAGCTGGGGCTACTGGACCCTGCAGGGCTGAAAGGGGAACCTTGACACAAGCCTTTGGGAGGGGTGCCGATGGACAGGGAGCAGTATGTTTTCCCTTTGCCGTAGAGGTCTCTGGGCCTCCCGCACGAGAGCAGCCTGGATCTCTTAAGTGTAGGAGGCCATTTGGGGTCTCCCCAGGGTATCGTCCTTCCCTCGGGATTAGTCCCTGCCTCTTTAACCCGGTCTTGTCTCCCAGCTAATCTCTGTGTAACCATTGCATCAGGCCAGCCCCCTGTTTGGCTCTGCAGCCTTCTGACCTGAGGCTCCACTGCTGATGAAAGCCAAGTCCCACACACTGGAAGGCAAGGGAGGGTTCCCCAGGGAGGACAGCCCTGCAGAGAAATATTTCGGGCAATATTGCATCTCCAGTCCCTAGGGATTGGCAGCTGCCACTCTGCGTCTGCCCCTTCCCTATAAGAGAGATTAGGGGGAATTCATTCATTCTTAACAAATACTTAATGAGGACCTACTGTGTGCCAAACAGTTTGGGGCTCAGGGAACATCCGTGAGCAAGAGGAAAAAATCATCTCAGTGGGAGGCCTACAGTAAACAAAATATAAGTGCCATGGAGAAAGCTACAGCAGAGAAAGGAATGGAGAATGTTCAGGATGGAGGTTACTGTGTTACATCAGGTGGTCAGGAATTACCTGAGGTAATTCCTCCTCTCAAAACCCTCCAATGACTTCCCTGACATGACATAGAAAGTCACTGGAGAGTTTTGAGCAGAGGAATGACCTGTTTTAAAAGATTGACTCAGGCTGCTGTATGGTGAATAGACTTACAGAGGGGTGGCAGGAGAAGAAATGGGAAGACCTGGCCGGGCGCGGTGGCTCAAGCCTGTAATCCCAGCACTTTGGGAGGCCGAGATGGGCGGATCACGAGGTCAGGAGATCGAGACCATCCTGGCTAACACGGTGAAACCCCATCTCTACTAAAAAATACAAAAAACTAGCCGGGCGAGGTGGCGGGCGCCTGTAGTCCCAGCTACTCGGGAGGCTGAGGCAGGAGAATGGCGTGAACCCAGGAGGCGGAGCTTGCAGTGAGCCGAGATCCGGCCACTGCACTCCAGCCTGGGCGACAGAGCGAGACTCCGTCTCAAAAAAAAAAAAAAAAAAAAAAAAGAAATGGGAAGACCTTCTGCAATCAGGAAGTTTCTGCAGTAATTGAGAGATGGTGGTGAATTGATCTAGATTGGAAAGAATGGAATTAGAGGTGTTTAGATTCTTCTAAGCAAAGTTTTAAAAACTCATTTTTAAAGAATGAGTTAAGGGCCGGGCATGGTGGCTCATGCCTGTAATCCCAGCACTTTAGGAGACCAGAGGAGTGGATCACACGAAGTCAGGAGTTCAAGACCAGCCTGGCCAACATGGTGAAACCCCATCTTTACTAAAAATACAAAAATCAGCCAGGCATGGTAGTGCATGTCTGTAATCCCAGCTACTTAGGAGGCTGAGGCAGGAGAATCGCTTGAACCCAGGAGGCAAAGGTTGCAGAGCGGAGATTGCACCACTGCCCTCTAGCCTGGGCAAAAAGAGGGAGACCCGTCTCAAAAAAAAAAAAAAAGTTAAAATTTGCTAGTACTTTGGATTGCAGGGTGTGAGAGAAGAGGAATGAAGGATGATACCAAGGTTTTTAGCTTAAGCAACTAGAGTTGTCATCTGAGATGGGGATGACCTTGGAAGGGGAAAATCAACAAGTTTGCACATAGTCTTAGGTGCCTATTAGACATTGAAAAAGAAATGGCAAGTAGGCAGTAGACAGCAGAGTCGGAAGTTCTGGAAGAGGTCCAGACTGGAAATATACATTTGGAGGATGTCAGTGTGGGAATGGAGTTAGGAAAATGCTACGATTTGTTCCCTTCCCTATAGTTTAGTCTTTACCCTGGCAGGTTTAAGGCCTGCCTTGAATTTAGAGAAAGCTGAGTTGGCCAGAACTTTGCTATTATGTAACCAGGACTACAAATGTCAGCAACTAAAAATAAAGTCAGGCCCTCTTCTGCCCTTGGAAATGGCTACAGGGACCAAGTATGCATACCCCACAAGACCAGAAGTAAGGACGGACCAGTAGGAGGCTGGAGATAAAAGAAAAATAAGGGCCCAGCATGGTGGCTTACGCCTATAATCCCAGCACTTTGGGAGGCGAGTGGATCACAAGGTCAAGAGATGGAGACCATCCTGGCCAACACAGTGAAACCCTATCTCTACTAAAAACACAAAAATTAGCTGGGCACGGTGGTACGCACCTGTAGTCCCAGCTACTTGGGAGGTTGAGGCAGAAGAATCGCTTGACCCTGGAGGCAGAGGTTGCAGTGAGCCGAGATTGCGCCACTGCACTCCAGCCTGGCAACAGAGGGAGACTCCGTCTCAAAAGAAAAGAAAAAAATAAGTTGCCTCTCCCCCTTCCAAAAATGGCTAACATTTCTCTTTGTTGCCTACAGTGTTCAAGAAGGAAGTGTATCTTCATACATCACCACACCTGAAAGCAGGTAAACTTAACCTACCCTTTCCCAAAACCAAGTCCTAAGAGATGCTGCTTAGCCTCCTTTTGCTGAGACCCTAAGAGATTATGAAAAGACCTAGAGAAGGTGGGAAAGGAGGGTTTGAATCTGAGCAAGCTTTTGCTATCAGGCTGTCTATTCTCCTGGCTTGCTCCTACAAGGTGAGCAAACCACTTTTCTTAAAGAATGTCCTAATGGAAATATGGTCCTCAAAGAAAGCCCCAACAAAGACAACTGGTTTGCCTTACCAGTCTTCAGTCAGGGTTAAACTTTCACTAGTCTTCAGTCCCACTTGCGAACTCTATTGATGGTTTCCAGGAGCAATTACCAGGTCATTTGTGCTCCCTTCTCCTGTGTGGGGAGCTCAGGGAAATAGTCCTTCAGCTCAGCCTAACCTTGATGGGGACAGGAATTTGACTAGTCCTCCAGATCCCCTAAGCATGGATATCCAGGCACTTTGCTTCTTCAAGTCCTGGGCAAAAGCAAGGAGGGAGTATTAATATAAACTAGGGGTTGATAAATTTTAAAGGGCAGGATAATAAATATTTTAGATGTTAAGAGCCCTATGGTCTCTAGCGTGACTCTTCATCTGTGCCACTGTAGCACCAAAGCAGCCATAAACAATATGTAAATAAACAGATGTGGCTGTATTCCAATACAACTTTACCTACAAAAACAGGCATCAGACCAGCTTGCCAACCTGTGGCATAGACTATTTGCTACATGGAGCTTGTTCCAGCCACTCCCCCATTACCCTGCAAATGTGCTTTTCCAGACTGATCCAACTGCAGAGATGGCAGCTGAGTCATTGCCTTTCTCCTTCGGGACACTGTCCAGCTGGGAGCTGGAAGCCTGGTATGAGGACCTGCAAGAGGTCCTGTCTTCAGACGAAAATGGGGGTACCTATGTCTCACCTCCTGGAAATGAAGAGGTAAGAATGCTAGGCCTAAACCTAAAGGGGGATGTTACCTTTTCCTTCTCAATTAATATCTACGTTCCCTTTCCTCATTTCCTTGAAGGAAGAATCAAAAACCTTTACCACTCTTGACCCTGCTTCGCTGGCTTGGCTGACTGAGGAGGAGCCAGAACCAGCAGAGGTCACAAGCACCTCCCAGAGCCCTCGCTCTCCAGATTCCAGTCAGAGCTCCCTGGCTCAGGAGGAAGAGGAGGAAGACCAAGGGAGAACCAGGAAACGGAAACAGAGTGGCCATTCCCCAGCCCGGGCTGGAAAGCAGCGCATGAAGGAGAAAGAACAGGAGAATGAAAGGAAAGTGGCACAGCTAGCTGAAGAGAATGAACGGCTCAAGCAGGAAATCGAGCGCCTGACCAGGGAAGTAGAGGCGACTCGTCGAGCTCTGATCGACCGAATGGTGAATCTGCACCAAGCATGAACAATTGGGAGCATCAGTACTCCACTTGGGCCACACTACCCACCTTTCCCACAAGTGGCTACTGACCACCCTCTCACTAGTGCCAATGATGTGACCCTCAATCCCACATATTCAGGGGGAAGGCTTGGAGTAGACAAAAGGAAAGGGTCTCAGCTTGTATATAGAGATTGTACATTTATTTATTACTGTCCATATCTATTAAAGTGACTTTCTATGAGCCAAGGTCTTTTACTTTTTCTTCTTGCCTTTAGAGGCTTCAGGGGGTTTCCCCTCAGCTACAGCCAACTGTTTCTTTAGATCCAAGAGTTTCGCCACCTCCGCGGCAACCTGGTTCTTGTCTGCCTTTTGTGCTTTCAGTTCTCGGACAATGTTGCCCTAAGATAAAGGGGGGTGGGAAGGGTAACAGTGAGGCAAGAAAAAGATCTATTTAGGATTCAGCTTGTCCAGTCTCCCACAGGGCTTAAGCTTCATACTTGTTTTGTCACTTCATCCATCAGCGCTTGTATCTGCTGTGGCCCGGCTGTTGTAACAGTCTCTATAACTGTTGGCTTTGGGGATGTTTTTGCCTGGAGGACAACAACAAAGTTAGCACCAGCAACCATAAATATCCCCTAACCTCCAGTTTTATACAGCATCTCAGAGGGAAAGTGATTACCTTTAAGTCGAAGGTCTCTTCTAGCTAAGACAGGAAAGAAAAACTAAGTGAGGAAGCAGCAGGGCCAAAAGATGGAAAGAGTGATGGGTGAGGACTACTTAGGGAAATTAAGGAAGTGATGCTGTGGCTGTTGTGGAGCGAGGGCACAGCCTTTAGCTTTTCTCACCTGGCCCCCTCCAAAGCGCTGCCTTAAACTTTCAATCTGGTCATTTTCCAATTTTTGGAACAAGGGACTGACCTGTAAAAAAAAAAGTTCCAGAAACATCTGCTGATTAGATACAGCCTCTACCGGACTATACAGATGACCTCTCCAACCCCAATCTCTGATATATTTTAGAAAGAACGAGCATAACACTAAGCTAATATCTGCTGATTTTAGGAAATCAGCGGCAGCTTTCCCTATGAAACCCCAAATAATTTATAGGGACAGATTCTTTAAGCGCTCTAAGGATGCTAGGCTGATCCAGAAGTTTAGCGACGTACTTACTTTTTCATTTTGTGTCAAAGAGGAAATGGCTATTTCCTCTTTTTCACTGCCCACTATCTGCTAGCATTGTGGAGGCTAGGTGACCAGTGTTTCTTCAAATATCTGTTTACCAGTTAGTTTTGTGTGCCAGGTTCTGGTTTCTGGCATGAAGAACAATGAGGATGTACAGATAATTCTGACCTTGTGAATGACTACCAAGGACTTTATATCAGAAACTTGAGTCCCATGACCAAAGTAACACTGGAGAGATGTTAGGTCTTCTCTCACCCACTCCAAAAGCTGCATAGCAAAAGTGTCAATTTTAAGACAGGCTGGCTCTTCCACCTACTGTGCCAATCTGGTGTCCTGCTGGTAAGGTACACAGGAAGTTTGTCAGCAGGATACTGCAGGCTGGAGGTGGGAGCTGCAGCTGGGCCTGGATTGTGGCACTAACCGTGGGCATGTAAGGCTGAAGCATGACAGAGAGCAAGGCAGCTATATTCACTGCCAAGCCAGTCACTGTGCCTGCCCGTTGCCTGAGGAAGAAGAGATATTAGTCAAGACCTCCAGGAGGATACAGCTTACAAGCCACTTTATTCCTTTAGCCAACCCTCCCCGCTTACCTACCTGTCAGCCTCACTGCCTTTAATCCGCTTCCACGGCTCATTCACCTGAATGTATTGGTTGCCATGTCGAGATATGGTGAGGATACTGCGCAAGGCATCCCGGATCCTGGGAAGGGAGGAAGCAGGCCAAGGTGTAATGTCCTACAGGGACCCATACAAGGCTCTCAACACATCAGCAGATGAGACAGAGATGTCAGTTACTTACCGAACCTTCTCAAGCAGCTGGTGATAGTGCTGGAGCTCCAGGGTGACATGGGCCAGCAGGCGCTGATCATCAGGGGTGAGCACCATCTCAGGCACATAGCCCCCAAAGAACTTAGACACAAACATCCCAGCTCTTGGTTGGGAGTAGGAAAGGAGAAGTGGAAAAAAGAGGGGAAGTTACTATCCACTCTCCTCCTTAGAATTTGACCCCATTTCCACAACTGTACATTCTCTCAGGATTCCTGCCTAGAACAGGTAACTCCTGGCTCCCTTAAGCCAGTAGACAAGGCTTAACAAATGAATTATTTACTCTGTCTCTCCCCTAAGAATCTGACTCTGCACATAAAAAAACCTGATTAAGTTAAACAACTCTATTTCTTATTTTTAAGAAGTCATTACTCAAAATGACCAAGCTGAAATATGTGTTCATTGCTATCAAACAAATACTCTAGGTAAGGATTTTTTTTTTTTTTTTTTTTTTAGGAGTCTCGCTCTGTTGCCCAGGCTAGAGCACAGTGGCATGATCTTGGCACACTGCAATCTGCCTCCCGGGTTCAGGTGATTCTCCTGCCTCAGCCTCCCGAGTAGGTGGGATTACAGATGTGCGCCACCATGCTCGGCTAATTTTTGTATTTTTAGTGGAGACAGGGTTTCACCAGGTTGGCCAGGCTGGTCTCCAACTCCTGTAGGTAAGGACTATTTATTAAATGTGGTTAATGACCAAACCTGAAAGTGAGTAGCAGGACTGACCTATAAGGGTCCAGGGTTCAGAGAGCGTGACGAAAGAATCCTAAGCTACGGAGGATACTGCTTTAGATTGCAGAAGAGCTGAGATAGGCACCAATGATAGAATGTGAGCCTAAGGTAACAAAAACTCTGAGTATAGCAGAAGTCTTTTTTTTTTTTTTTTTGAGACAGGATCTCCCTCTTTTGCCAAGGCTGGAGTGCAGGGGTACAAGCACTGCTCCACTGCAGCCTCAATCTCTTGAGCTCAAGAGACCATCCCATCTCAGCATCCTGAGTGGCTGGGACTACAGGTGTGCGCCACCACGCCTGGCTGATTATTTTTGTAGAAATGGGAGACTCATTATGTCAGTCAGGCAAGTCCTGGCCTCAAGTGATCCTCCTGCCTTGGCCTCCTAAAGTGCTGGGATTACAGACATAAGGCACCATGCCCAGCCCACAGAAGCCTTCTACCCCCACACCAAAATAACCCCTTTCTTCGGCCAAAGTTTTCAATGATCTGCAGGTTAAGTATTTTGCTAGGAGAGAATACATCTTCAGTTCTACAAAGAACAGTAATAAGAACACAATTTACAAAAACCCACTTTATAACCAACTTTGCTAAATCACATCTCTATAGTTAACTGTTCCATCAAGCATACATAGCCTCATACGTGCTAGGAACAGATCCCAATTAATAGAAATCAACTTTCCACACTGTCCTCACAGCCTTCTGCCCATTTTCTAGTTCTCTCCACATTCCCATCTCCTGAGGGAAAATGAGCCCCACCCCAGCTCACTGCTAACTCTGACCCCTTACCAATTCCCACCTGTTGATGAAGTTGCCCAGGTTGTTAAGCAGCTCAGAATTATTCTTCAGCAGCAGGTCCGTCCAGGAGAAAGCACTGTCCTGGCCCTCAGGCCGAATGTACAGCAGATAGAAGCGCCAGATGTCGGCAGGGATCCCCGTGTCCTGGGCCATGTCCCCAAACACTCCCACACCCCGGCTCTTAGAGAATTTCCCATCCTCATAGTTCAGGTACTCTGGACAGAGGAGAATGAGAACTATCTGCTCAAATCACATCCTTCCCCTCTCTAGCCCACTAACTCTTCCTTCTTTCCTCTTTCTAACCTCAACTATGGTTGTCTAGCAACATTTCTCCTTAAGGGGCTGGTATGCTCAGATTTTGGGAGTCCCTTCCTATCCATTCTGGCCCTTTTTTGTCTTTGCTTGTATCTACTACAGAGTTTTAGCTTTGGACTTTTGCTTTCTTCAGGTTCTTGTTTCATTTCTCTAGGTTGAGTTCTCATTTTAATTATTTCCTATTTCATCTCAACTCCTAACTCAAGACAGCAGCTCTCTAAGATCTTTTTCCAAGTACTGCCTCAACCCTCATTTCCTGTGAACACCCCATCAGTAGTCTTCCAGGGTACTTACCTGTAGCAATGAGGTGGCTGACCAAGGTATAGTTATCCTCAGCTCCTAGGGCTGAGCAAGGAAAGACTATGCCATGGAAAGGAACATTGTCTTTGGCCATGAACTGATATAGGTCCACCTAAGGGAATGTAGTTAGGAGAGATTTCCTGAGACCTTCTTCAAAGGCCAGGAGACCAGACACCCAACCCTAAGACCCACACCCTACCGCCTACCCTCCCCATGCACAGCCTAACCAAGAACTGCTCACTTGCTCTGGGTTCTTCCACCATCTCTCCCACTGGTCTGTGTAGTTGGCTGTGATGGACAAATAGCCAATAGTGGCATCAAACCAGACATAGAATACCTGGAGGTCAGGAGGAGGTAAACATGTTAGGGACCAATCCAAAGTCTCAAACTGAAACAAGACATAATCAGCAGTCTATTCTGCTAGCCCAGGGTCTGAACACCAAGGCTGAATGATATGAATACAAAAGGGTTTTTACCTTGTCTTCAAAACCTTCTAAGGGTACAGGGGTTCCCCATTTGAGGTCTCGGGTTATGCAGCGTGGCTTAAGGCCATCCCGAAGCCAAGAGCGGGTGATAAACCGGGCATTGGGAGTCCAGTCACTGCCAGGCAATGTCCTCCCCAACCACTCTTCCAGTCGCTTCTCCAGCTGAGATAACAGAGAAAGACAAGAGGGTTGATTTAGGAAAGTCTCGTATATGGTTAGCATAAGGATAAACACAACCTTTTTGGAGCACAATTTGGCAATATATAACTTTTTTTTTTTTGAGACAGAATCTAGTTCTGTCGCCCAGACTAGAGTGCAGTGGTGCAATCACAATCACAGCTCACTGCAGCCTAAACCTCCTGGGCTCAAGCAATCCTCCTACCTCATCCTCCCCAGTAGCTGGGACCACAGGTGCACACTACCATGTCAGACTAATTTTTGTAACTGTTGTAGAAACAGGGTTTTGCCACATTGCCCAGGCTGGTCTTAAACTCCTGAACTCAAGCAATCTGCCCACCTCAGCCTCCAAAAGGGCTGGGACTACAGTTGTGAGCCACCATGCCCAGCCTTAACTAGATTTTTAACACACAGCCAGTGGCTTATGCCTGTAATCC